AACGAAAATTCGAAAACACAATTAATAAAATGTTTTATAATTGAATTCACTGTGGATGCTCGAGATCGATTACGCGTTATTGTGCAACCGAAGAAAAATGAAAAACTTCGTTGTATCTTTTTTCATATTCTTTACAGGTATATCTTGTGTGAACTAAGTTTTCTATGATTAGATATATTTTCCGGAAGAATCTGGAAGAATCAAACATCGCTTAAACCGTTGTGGTGTTTTCCTAGAGGATAAATTTGTTTCAGACTCACATCTGAAGATATAGAATTTTCATTGCGAGTTATCTATCGTATATCGATTTCGTGCTATACTACTACTCGACAATATTTCTCCCTCTCTCTCTCTCTAACTAAAGTATACGTTTGTCACGAATCTTCTCGCGCGCAAATGCCACAACGGAACGACGTTTGGTTTTTTGGCAACAATTTAAACGTGCATTTCGAATTATAATTTTTGCATATGTAATAGTAAAATTGATTTTCTCTTATCCCTGAAAACAAAACGATTTCAAGGTAGGAGGAGGAAAGAGTTTTCTTTGTTTTATATAAAAATGCCTGGAATGTCGATAATATATCTCTATATATATCTCGGTCATTCGATATGAGATAGCGTAATCGTGTTAAGCATTAAGGATTCCGTTTGCATGCACGATAGCGATACATATTAAAGGCGAACCGATTATTGTTAATCTCTCGATCATTTTGTGGAGTTTTACGCGGAGATATTTATAAGTAATCGGCTTTGTGTGTCCTAAAATGGAAGAGCGCGATATACAATTTTACGATCGCTCGTATCTATATATATATATGTGTGTATATATATATGTATACGTATATCCGTTTTTTTTTTTCAAGTAAAGTTACAAATATTTACGTGCTTGAAACAGAATATGTTAAGTACATGTACTTGTGATATAACCGCAGTTACACTCTCTCTTGGCACACGTGATGCGTGTTTCGATATTTTGTACGTTTTTGCTACGTTTTTTTTTTTTTAATTTTTTAAAAAATTTTTTTTATTACTTTAATGTGGATTTGTTTTTATTCGATATACAAACGCAGAGTGACGTCTTACATCTTGTGTGGTATGTACGTGTGCAACCTAAGGAAGACCATCATTAAACTTCTTGGCACTATGTAGATTAATAATTTATTAATTTATTAATTTATTAATTGTGCAGTCTGGCGCGAGATCCACAAAATGATGAGAAGTTCTAACGACATTTTTCTTTTCTTTTTTCACATTAGCAATTACATGAAAACTTGGTTGTCGAGAAAAACGTACGATTAAATGTCTATTTAAATATATGCAAAACTTGTAAATTTGGCTTTATAAAAAGTTCACGAACAATACACATGCATCGCGATTGTATGCATAATTATCGAAAAACGTTACGTGAAACTTTTGCTTATGATCGATATGATTTCTCTTTCTAAGGGAAAAAGTTTTTGGACTTTAAAATTGTCGTTAAAATTAGAGTTTGTTAGATGTTGGATCGTGACGTTTAATCATTAAATGTAATTAGGCAATGGAACACACACTCGTATGTGTGTGTATGCGTGTTGTGTGAGAAAAAGAGTCGGCTAAACTTTACAATGAAAATGTTGAGTGAGTAACAAGATTTTGCTTTCCTAATAAATCTCATACTTCTGTACATGTACATCTACGTGCGTCATTTGTGAGAAAAAAAATACCGTTATATTTTCATAAAACTCAATTTCGCGTTAAAAAAAAATTATACATAAGTGTTATTATGATAGAGATGATCTGATTGTGGATCGTTGATAATTGATATCGACCACGTCAGTCGTGTGTCCGAACAATAATAAGTGTCGCGCTATTTTTTTTCCAAGATATTCTACAATTTTCTTATTTTCTTATAGCTTGTATCTTATTCGGTTCAAACGAGTCAGAGAAAAACGCCTGGCTGTCGTCAATTAAATTCAGTCACGCTCTTTTGAACTGTGGCACTCTTTTTAAACATTCTCTCTCTTGTGACAATAAGTTCAATAAGTATGCGGTTAAGTTGTAAAGTTTAGGAAAATAATAACAATAATACTAAAGGACTAAGGAAAATAATATAATTGTGATTATATTACTATATCGCATGTGTGTTTTCAATATCATGCAAATTATCAAAATTACACGTCGCGTTAACTTTCCAGTGTTCTCAGAATTAATATAATATAATAAATTTACGAATTTAACAAATATAATACACTGTTGCGATAATTATTTATTCTGATATTTTTGTTTCGCGATTCTTACGATCGATAAAACGTAGTATAATACGTAATTTGTACGTTTAATAGGGTCAACATAGATTATCGCTAATCACAATCAAATTCTGAACATATATATCACAGCCAGTTAAACAGCGTAAAATATACAGCACTGATAACACTATTTACACGTAATCATCATTTACGTTAGAAGAAATTCCACTTTTGAGGACAAGAGGTGAACTCGAAAACGCAATATATATATTTATATTATTATATACTTCCGGATGTGCCGAGTGGCAAGAAACTGATGATTGCATTATAATATGTACAACATACACACCGTGGCTACGTTCACGATCACACGTTGTTCGTATATTATCGTTGTCCACAGCACATAACGTCAAAGATTGTAATCAAAGTACGCCGATCTACACATACGTACGCAAATCACTCCACACGTTACATGCATATATAAATTTAGTATAATAATGTAGATAATAATTGTCTAAGTAAGGCGTATTTAAACGTATTCTCTCATTCCTTCGTAACGAGTCTCTCTCTCTCTCTCACTCACTCACTCTTTTTGCGCTTTCCAGTGATCCATTTTTCCCGTTGTTGCGAATGTAATGCACACATTGTGTTGTTGTTGTCGTCAATCTATAAGAACGATTTCCAAAATAAACCACTCGATAGGGTCTTGGCTATGAAACAATATATTGAATCTTATCTACTTTCAGTCACGTATGTTATCTCTTCCAATCTCGATATCACACACTTTCTCTTCTCCCCTCTTCCCCGAAATAAGCCGAATTTTCCACAGAGACAGAGACAGGGAGACTCGAATCCTATTCGAATCTCGTCTAACCTTGGGATCGTGCGTACGCGCACGTACGGGAGTAAAATGGTATCTCAACGGTTTTATCGCCCCTAACGTTTTACAAATTCCTAAGAAATTTACAGAGGTGTTCTAAATCAACGTGGCAGTAGTAGAGAATAATGTCCCCCCTCCCTTTCCCTCTCTTCTCTTCCCCATCGACCGCGAAGAGCGCCGTAACTCGAGCGGACGTGATCGCGCGGATCGCGCGCGCTTGATCCTCCGTGAAGCTTTTTATTTATTTATTTTTTTTCGTAGTAAGAGCACTTAATCGCGCGCTATGTGTTTCCGAACTGAACTACCGATTGCGATATATTTTTTTTGTCTTTTTTTTTGTTTTTTTTCTTGTCTTTGTTTCTCTCTATTCTTTCGGGTTACCGCGATCTCGCAGCACGGCGGGATCAGTTTACCAGATACTGATACTTCTTAAGGATAATTCCTTACATGTGTTTGTGTGTGTAGTAGTAGTAGTAGTAATAGTAGTAGTAGTAGTAGTAGTAGTAGTAGTAGTAGTAGTAGTAGTAGTGTAGTAGTAATAGTAGTAGTAGTAGTAGTAGTAGTAATAGTAGTAGTAGTAGTAGTAGTAGTAGCAGTAGTAGTAGTGGTATAGTCATTATTCAGCGTGAATATCATACAGATGAATGAGCCATAAGTCTCGCGGAGTTTACGTTCATTTCTGTCGAGTTGATGTCCCTTTCGAATCTGAAGATTGACAGTGGCATAAATTCGATGTAAAAGTCACCTGAGATCTCTCGTAAACGTTGGACTTTTCTTTATATTTTTCTCTCAATTTTATCAATTATGTTACAAATACGATGCTTAATATTTTTCGAATCTGCGTCTAAAAACTTTTCGTCTTCGATCAATTCTTTGTATTGTTTTGATAAGGTTTTTAAATTTCATTCGTAAAATAAATGCAAACACACAATAAAACCCACGAAACACCTCACAGAGCATCAGTTTTGTTTTCCACAATGAAATTGTGTCAGCTTCTTCAATCTTCGTTTTCGATAATGCATCGACTCGGTTATGCTCGACTTTTGGTTCCCTCAGATTATTCCCTTTTTTTTTCTCTACCTTTGCAACGCGAGGATACACGATAAGAAGGAAGAAAATTCAAATCCTTATTAGAGTTGTTCTCTTTTTTCATCTTTCTTCCGCTTATCGTTTTGGAAATTTAATCTGTCTTTTAACATGCCGAAAGTTTCAGATATTACGGGATAATTACAAAGTCAGGTGACTGTTGAAAAAATGTATACGTCTAGTTGTAAAAGGCTATTCGATTATTTATAAATGTTAAAAAGATCGCTTCTCCGCGTGTTACAAACGTCCCGTTTAAAGAGAACAAAATCGTCCCTTTATATCGTCTCTTTTGTTTTTTCGTTCTTGACAAGGTTCGCGCGCTCGTGTATCGTTTTTGTACGTGTTCTTTTCTTCCTTCCTTCCTTCCTTATATTTTGCCATGGAAAAAAACAAAATAGTACATACTCGGTTCGACTGTCTCGGAACATTGCCTACGAAGATGATGACGTTTGTTGATTTTTTTTTTTTTTCGTCATAAACAGAAGATTATATATATGCCGTACTCTTTCGGAATGTGTTAATCCCTTATCGTTGAAAATGACTAAACGGATAAACAATAACCAATCAGGTAGAAACATAAGTCGGAAGCAGGTGATGTAGGTGATGACTTTAGTTGGTCCCGAACATGAGTTAGTAGAGAGTTGTGCAAGAATCGTAATTACTCAATCTCAATTATTTATAAATGTAAATTTTTAAATGTATCACAATCAAATATTTACTTGAAAAAAAGCGCGAAATATAACATTTAGTAAAATAAAGAAATAAATATTATATTAGAAATATTAGAAATATATATTAAAATTATGCATGTAACGAATTATCTATAATTCCTTTTAGCCAATTTGCGTCCATGTATAAAACTACCTTGGATGTGCCACACATTGCGTATAAATTTTAATTTTTTTATTCAAGAACGTGGTTATAACAGTGCCAATATGGCCTTGTTAAGAAAGTTTCAATGACTAATCTGTGCGACATAGTAATTATAATCTTTGCACGAACTCGCTCTAGAAGAGTCGCGCATCGAAACGTGTCGACCGTTGCGTCACGGATCTCAGCTCATGGCTACACTGCGCGCGCCGATCACAATCATGCACTCTTTCTCTCTTTCTCTCTCTCTCTCTCTCTCTCTCTCTCTCTCTCTCTCTCTCTTTCTCTCTCTCTCTCTCTCTCATTTAACTCTGCATCTTAACTATTACGAAAGCTATCTAGTAATTAACCTATACGGTTCTATAACGTACGGATCAATTATATTCTGTGGCAGTTTATTTACAGTGCGGCTCGCGTCGCGGCCCTCTAATGTTTGCACGATCGATTCGCAAATGAACGTTTGCCACTGGCTGTTCAATTTCGACGTTCAACGTCGCTGAAAAAGTTAAAAGTAAAATTATAAAATTTACAATATAGCTATGAGAGAAAAACGCTGAGATTTTAAATAAAATTACTTTCTAGGGAATTGTGTGGAATCATATAAGAGAGAGATCTCCTATTGTATATATGTATGTATGTATATATATATATATATATGTATATATATATATATATGCAATCCTCTTTTTTTTCATATCTAACAAGTTACGGGCCGCGGCCCGGCCGCATCTACCTTAACGTTGTCTATTTACAGGAACAGCACGATCATGTAATTGAGATATCTGGCGCTAGTGGTACCGTTGAGCTTCGTGCCGCCGCCGTTCTCCTCGTCGTTCTCGCTGGCAGTGTCGCCCTTTATCTCGACGATGGTGTCGAGCCTCTCTATCGCGCCCCGCTGGGGATGATAGTTGCCGGAGCTCTCGCTCTCGGCGGTCTCGTCGGAGTCGACATCGATCGAACGGTCGTTCACCTGAATCTTCACCACGGCATCCACCGGGTACTTGTGGTTACCTTCGTCACTAGAGGACGTCGTCGCGACCGTCGCTGTGCCGGATTTACCGGCGGCCTTCGTGACAATGCCGGCCTCTCGCTCGCAGCGCGGACAGGTCTGACCGTTGGACGAGCCTTCGTCGCTCTGACAGCGGAAGCAGATCAGGTCGCCGTCGCTCGAGAAGTCGCAGTGCTCGCAGTGTACAACGACATAGCCGTTACCCCGGCAGAGCTCGCAGATCGGACTCTCGTCGCGGTCTGTGAGCAGATCGACGTATTAGGATCGACAGAGTTGTCTCGTGCGCGCGTGCAATCCTAAAATTGTTATCCTCTAAGAGGAAATTGCGCAAAGCATTAAAGCCAAGAAAAAAAAACACCAAATAACTGCGTAACTACTATCGGTGCGAGATCAAAAAAGCGAGATTATGGCGAGTGCAATAGCATAGTAAAAGTGTAAGGGATGTGAAAAAATTATTATGGTCTCTTTTTTTATAGGTAGAGTAAAGAGGAAAATATATGCACATGTGTGCGTTTGTGAAGTCATCTGCACAGGCACTATGTAGCAAGAAAAATTGCTACATTGAATAATTATACTCACTATTGTATTGGAAGATACATTCTCTCGGGGAGTTTTGGAAGAATTAGGAAATTAATAAAAATATTGTACTATAAAAGAATAGGAGAATAATCACCAAGTAGAGTCGGGAAAACTGAAAAAAAGACTAGAAAGAAATGCAACTTGCACGTGTGTTGCGTGGTTCCGTTATCCTGTGTACATATCGGTGTATGATGAATGAGAAGGTCACAGAGTTAATGGAAAACACCAAAGCCACATCAAAATTAATTAAGCAAAGCGAACGAACTTTGTTCAATCCTCGGACCAGAATTGGTCGAGGTACTCGCCTCTCTCGACGTCACCTCGATCGTCCTCAGCGTCTCTGGCAATTCTTCCGCGCTGTTCCTGCGTCGGGTGATATCGAGGTGACGTAACCGACACCGGCTGCTCCGGATCGCGGTACGATCGCGGCGACGTCTGCGCCACGCGTTCCTGATCCGAACGGTAGGAGCGCGGTGAGGACAGCTTCGTCGGACTTCTATAGGCACGAGAGGTTCCCGGCTCTTGGAGCCGATCTTCAATACGCTCCTCCACGTATCTGCCGGGGTACGAGCTGGGTGTTTGCGGTTGGTAGGTGCAGGTGCGCGTCTTCTGATCGCACTCGCTGCACAGCAGCAGGTTTGACTTGCTGCCGGGCCGCGAGACGTAACCGTTACAGGTACCGTAGTAACGCTCGTCCTCGCCGTCGCTGTCGAAGAAGTGCTGGCTCAGGCTACCAATCGACTTCGTGTCACTGAAGACCTTCGCTTCGTCCGGCTCTTCCTGATCGTCAACGCCGTATCTATAAAAAGACAAAAGCGGATCGATTCATTGTACGAGCGCGAACGCGCGGCACCTTTTGTGAGTCACAATACGGATATATTACGGTCGTTCGTAGCTATCAAACGCGAAAGTTATTACTTATACGCCTTCTTCTGCGCTAAGAACTGTTATTTATCACATTTACGAGCTATGAAAACTCGGCTCTTCTCGTCACATTCGAGTAATATCGTTTTATACGTATGTTTTTTGCGATATTTATTACAGAGAGAATTGCAGTACGTGAGAGTTTGCGATACGTGATTATTATAATGGAACAAAAGAAAAACAAACGACAAAAAGCACGTGAGGAATAACAGGTACATGTTTGCACGAATATTCATACCTATTAGCGGTCTCGACAAGGTAGCGACGTATCCGCTCGAGTTTGGTCTTGCCGCGCTCTCGCGGCATTGTTTCTCGTTAAATAATGCTCTCTCGGTTTCTCTCATTGTTGTCCTCGACGCTCGAGGTCGAACTGCCACCGCAGATCTGCATCTCGATTTCGGCCAGTCGGTGCTCGACCTCCCATTGCTGCTGGCTCAGTTTGACGCTCATCGCCGCGTTCTCGCTCTCCAGGCATTTCAGCCGCTCGCGTAGCCGCTGAATTTCCGCCAGCAGAGCATCGTGCAGAGGCGTCGCACCCTCGCTCATCAGCTGCGTCGTGCTGTTGTAGGTCGTGCTTGAGAGAAAATGGCCAACTATTGTTGGAAAAATACATATGTACATATTATTAATAATGCGTGTAAAAATAAATCAGTATAATAATTTTATAAAATTTTTATTGCATAGTTTTTATAAGCGTGTACACACGTTGTAATGATCAACGAATGAATAAGGCGCAGAATAAAGCAAAAACTCAAATAACTTGCGACGCAGCCAACTTGTTCTCCAACTTGAAATCTAAAAAAGATCGCAAAAAGATTTCAACGAAAAAAAAATCAATTTTGTTTTTAGCAGCTGTGCACGTGAGAATACGGATTATCGTCTTTTTTGGCCACATTAGAACAATATGTTGCGCGTGGTATGTACATGCAATTACTCGATCGTTGAAAATTACATGAGAAGCGCAGAAAGCAACAAACGAGCGTCGACGTGTGCGCGAATACAAGATGAGTCCCTCTTGCCCAAGAGAGAGAGAGAGAGAATCACCCATAGTCTTTGTGATTCGCTGATGTTGATTAATGCGCGCGATTAGTATTTCTCTCTTGCAGCTGGCTGTGGCACTCGCACGCTAATAGAATTCGCATATAAGATGAGCCGCCGTTTCGCGACGGAGGGAGGCGGCATTCGGAGTTGATACAACGTGAAGGTGAATTAGCATCAGCAAACTCTCTGCTAATTAATTTAGGAATCGCCCCGCGTGTACTAATATATCATTCGGGCTATTGTCCAGGGGCTCGTCTTGATCGTGTCACACTCCCTCGCATTAACACATCAACGGCCCGGGAATTGCGCGGCTGTTTAGAGCGCGTGGCGTTTCTTCCGCGGGAATCGTGCGCGCGTCGCGATATAATTCGCCGGTTGATAAACCTGGCTCTCAGCTCCGGTTGACTCGCATCCGATTTGTTATCGCCGTTAGTAAAATCTGTCGATATATATTTAATCGAGTGAGAGAGATGGGGGGGGGGGTCTGAGGGGGAACTGAATAGCGCGTTGAGTGTATGCACCATATATCCCATCTAGCGAAGAGCTTGTTCGAAAACCGGAAACGTCCGATTACCGCGCGCATTTCCCACGGCGCGCACGGAGCAACGCAGGCGGGGGATTTTATTTCCCAAACGACATATAAACGTCGGCAGAAACACGTTAAATCGTTACTACCTATATCCTATCTATCGGGGTTAATGGTTCCCGGTATTTTACGAGTGGCGTCGAGCGTCGCGCGCTCCGTCATTCATTATCTCGCGCGCGATATTTCTGAACTCGCACACCTCCTCTTCGTATCGGCTCTTTTATAGCGCGCCGATAAACGCGCGAAACCGCGTTCGCCCGCGTCCGGTTAGATTTGATTTTCCAAACGAGAGATCGCGCCCTAAGAAAATTCCGATCTGAAACCCCTCTTCATGAGGGAACGCGCGCCGAGAAATTTGCGCGCGCAAAAGGCGCAATGATAAAGTCTCTTCCGGGTGTGTGTATGCACGCGACGGGAGTTCACATCAATCTTTCTCTTCATTAACAATGATAAACCGCTGAAATGTTTATTCACAAATACGATCATTAATTTTAGCTTAGATAAATAAACCGTGACAAATATAAATAATATAACGACGCGCGTAAATATTTTCGACGAACACGCTATATGAGATGAATGATGATAATAACTATTTCTCTGTGACATTAAAACGCGGTTCCCTCCGTAAATTTATTTCGAGGTGGCGCGCGCTCTCTCTCTCTTTTGTTCTGAAAATATAATTCCGAACGCGCGGGGACGGGAGTTATTATAAAGATGTTCAATCAAACGCGCATAACGACACACTGTGCGATATATACAAATATTCACTCGGCCTTTCTAAAAAAAAGTCTTTATATGCCATACGTGAAATATTGATGACTAGAAAGTGAAAGAGGCTACAACACAAAGGTCTTCTTATTCTCTTCTTCGCTGTGTTCGCGCTTCACTTAATCGCGAAGTCTTATAAAGTCTATAAGAAACTAACGGTTTGTGCGTCAGCAGTTTGCGCGCGAACACAGCGTCAGCCGGCGTTATCTCTCCTCGGCGCAATGATTTATATACTCCCGCGTGTAATGTTATCGCGATAGAATCGCCGGAGGTCGGCGGTATCGCGCGCGAAAATAATATCCGATGTGAAGAGATTTCGCACGATTTTACGATTTTACGCGGAATCTTCTTTCGTACGTTGTTAAATACGAGAAATATGATATCAACTCTGTTTTTTAAATGTAATAAAAAATTTATCTAAGTCGTAGCGACATTTCTCTCCGCCCGCAACTATTCCGGCGGGTACGGAATATATGAATCTTAATGTATATAAATTTGTTTATATAAATCTTCTCTCGCGTCGGGGGGCGGATGCGAACTTTCTGCTGCCTTACGGCAGTAGCACTGTTTGTTCGCTCGTTACCTGTATTGACTTTCAAATTCGACTTGTAATTCTCCCACTCTGATTGACAAACAATCGACACTCCCGTGCGGGAGAAAACAGAGAACGCTTATTCTCTCAGAACGCGTCAATTCGCACGAGCAATACAAAATCGCTCCCGTTTCGCGGTCTATTCCCAGCTATATCCGAGCGCGTACTGATATCTGAGTCTAAAATATAAATTTCAGCTTCTACACAATTTTACGCGATTTTAGTGGAGTTATGAGATCGGAACAAAGATCAAATTACCGTCGCGTTTTATCAGTGATCAAAAAATGCGCGAGTTTTATATATAAATTACACATTCGTTGTTTCGCGAGAAACAATGTATATCTGCCCATCTACGTTTTCATTACACATGTAGAATCCGCTCCGACATGTAATTTTTTTTCTCTTGAATTCGTCGTGTTATAAACTCACATTTCACGCGCGTAAAAAGGGACAGTTTATTTGAATAAATACGCGCTCGTATTTTCTGAAATATACCGTATGTTCATTAATCACGTTGTTTCTTTTTGATGTTTTTTTTACGTGACACTGAGACAAGAGGGGGGGGGGGAAACTTACCGGTGGACTGCCTTCTGGTGGAGGGTTGCGTGGCGGCCGCATGCGGCACCCTGGCCGTCTGCTCCTCGCTACTGGGACCGCTGCTGGCCGCGCTCGTCGGACTCTCCGTGCCCCTAGGTACGCTCGCGTCCCCAGTGATCCCCGTGGTTGGCACAGTACGACGCGCCGTCACCGGACTCGGGCTCGGCGAGAACAACGAGGCGGCCGTCGAGTACGCGTGTGTGGCCTTGAGATCGATCGGCGATATCCACATCTCCTCCAACGGCACGCGACCCCGCGACTCCACCAGACCGGGCGTGCTCTGGCATCTGGGCATGGCAGCTGCAAATTCGCAACCCGTTTTATAGCACACGACGATCTTCTCTTTAACAGGGGGGCTATTTTAACTTTCGTTAAAAGAATATTATTTCGATCGCGCGCGCCAGAGAGAAATTTAATATCTTTTATATATATGTATTTTTTTTCTGTTTTTCGTTTTCCGTTTCCTCTTGGTTTCATTTTTCATTTTTTTAATATCGTTTACGAGTCATAAAAGAAGAAAAAAAAACAGCGTCGGTTTTCCAATCTTGTTGAAAACGACACCGCCGTGTGAAAAGCTCAACCGGAGAATTTTCCGCTGGAATTTTCGATACACCACGTCGCGGTGCAGAACGGGCTGGCCATTTATTTAGAATATCACTCATACGTGATGCAAGTCCTTCGTGAACCGTGCGCGGCAGCATCGTGTTTACGCACGTCGTGCCCGATACGATATCTGTACCGCGTTCTCGAATTTCCGCGCTCTTCGACCGTCCTGACATTTAACCGACAGTGTTCAGTGACATCCACACGTTGTTGTGCCGTTTTCCCTTTGTTCGTTTGATGCGAGTCCTTCGGTTCCCTCTCGAGCAAAACGCGTAATTCTTCGGATCCTTATGGAGATTTCCGCTCTGTCTTCAATAATGTATCGTTATTGCGAAAGACGTATCGATCCGGTCGTTATAAACGACTTTGGATCATCGACGGTGTCATGTTCGCTTATGCAAAATAGACAGAACCGCGTTTGCGTTCTCGCAAAACGAACGCGACACAAAGTAACAAATTATGATAAAATACAGCAAGCTAGGAATATATATATGTTTTGCATCTTACTTGCAAATATATATGTAAATCTATATAATGTAAAAATATATAAACGTTCAGTGTTTAGCAACACGTCAGCTCTGCACAACGGTTTAGCTACTAAATAGCGCGTAACGTTTGATCGTTTATGTAGGATGTGTGGGCTGTCGGATCAGGTAAATTAATCCTTCTAATTAAAGCGACCTTTAAATACCATGACATCATGCGGGGTAAATCGCGTGTCGAGACGTTAATAGCAGAGACCCGACGCGACGGCAGACCCAAAAAAATTGTTATTATGAAAGAGAGACGCAATCCTCTCTTGCAAGTTATTTACGTCACAACTCCAGAATAAACTCCGGGTGCATAAGTTACACATTTCGTTACGGGAGTAACTTCTTTTTTTTCTATATACATATATATATATATATATATATATATATATATATATACATATTTATATAGATATAGATATATGTGTATGTGTAGCTTTACTTCGAAAAGATCTTCGTTGAACTGCAATTTGCAAAGTACCACTCCGCATACTTCTAAACTCGCGACGTGCATATTTTTAAACTTGCAGCGTCAACAACGCGACGCGCATTTCTCTCACTCTTTTACGTTAATTAGAGTACGTTGCACCTCGCCGATAGCGAGGCGGATCAATAAGTCGTCGGAGATCTCGCCTCTTGCTATCGCAGATATACACATTGCCACTTCCTTCTCGCCGCCGTAACTCACGTCACGCATTCGCACACTTATTAACGCGACCTAATTAATTTATCATACGCCGTTCCGCGACGACGATGTAGAAAAAAATTGCTGTTAAAATTTTTCTTTTTTTTTTTCGGGGAGGTTAGTCGAGATGAAGCGCAAGCCATCGAGTGAAAGTCCATCGTTGCAATGGTGATGAATGGCACGAGAAGTTTACAAACGAAATAAGTTTCTGCAAACGCGCGTAAGCGGTTTATCGAAAAATGCAGCGATGGATTGCTCGCGACGGACCGTTCGCATTTTCAAAAGAAGTGGGGCGACATCCCTTAAGGAAATAGTTGCGCGCTTGCAAAGAATATCTCCTTCTATTCAGCGACGCTTTTATAGCTTCTTCTCAAATGCGTGTGTGTGTGTGTGTGTCAAAATTATATTTTTCATTCTTGAGGAAAATAATAAAAAAAAAGAGAAAAAAATGTTCAACCAAAATATCCGTTTGCAATAAAGGTTCACAGATTTTTTTACATTTTCGTGGGTTAAAACATTGTTTTTTTCTTTTCAATTTTTTATATTTCAATCCCCCCGTTCTTTCTCTCACCTCTTTATTTCTCCTCTTTTCTCACACTTAAAGAAAAAAGAAAAAAAACAGTCTCTAACTTCTCGTCGAGAATGCACGGTCAGATATTTCCTTCCATTTTTCTTAATTTGTTTTCTGGTATTTGTGGTTGAGGAAAATGCGTTCAGCGGTTTCAGGACAGCCCCGTGTATGTACGCATATTTTTTGCCGGAAAATGCAAAGGGAATTGCGAGACGAGGATATTCCCGGTACTCTCGCTGACCTAGAGACCGAAAAAGGTGGTGGATCCGCCATATAGCGCTACTACGACCGTCCGCGTATTTCGGATCAACGAGGCGCTCGGAAGAGAAGAATCGCGGGGACGTCGAACCATTTGTCTCCATCAGCCCAACATCGACTTTCGCTGCTTCGAGTACTTCGACCCGTTCATTCTTCGCGCTGTTACATGTGCACGCGGAATTAGGTCACGAAAACATTCCGTATGCGAAAACGAATAAATCCTCGAGATAGAGATATCGAGACGGAGGTCTATTCATCGTCGGAACGTTGCGCGTTTAGCATTAAACCCGTCCAATTTCCATCTCGCGTTTACCTAGCGTATATCTCTCCCGCATTAGACAAATGAAACGCACGAGGGAAATATAAGATGGCGGTGAATATTCGCCAACCATAATCGAGAACAATTTCTGCGTATATAAATATTACTTTTAATCCTAAATGTGTAAAATATATACATCCACGAAAATGTGTGTGTGCGCACGAAAAATATATTTAAAAAGAGAATGCAAATGTTATTAAATAATGTTATTAAATTTAAATATAAATTAAAAGAAAACACGTTTTAGAGAGTGAAAAAGTGTTGTATTAGATTGGTGCGGAAGTAATTGCGGAATTGTTACTTTAAACTTCATTTAAAAATCGCAATTATTTTTTCACCGCTCTGAGCGTCATTGATGTATCTTTATTTTGTTATTGCACTAAAGCTTCTCGACACCAACTTCTCGAAAAGAGAAGAGCGCCAATAACCGTACAAAGGAATTGCTGTAATCAAATACGAACGGCAAGTTCGCCTCGAAATTTATATCTTTTGAAACTTGTTTGACCGAAGTTCAACGACTGAAAATCTTCGAAGACATTAACCTGGGAATATACGTGTATCAACGATCGCGGTACTGAAAAGACTCAGCCAGGCGGAGACGTGATTTCATTGCGGATCGTTCAAAAGATTTTCGTCAGCGTGTACTGGTAACATAGGCATGACGCGAAGAGACGAGGAGTTTAATTAATTAATTCTCGCGCGGGCGCGCGCGCAAAGCAGCCGCCCTTTGCTCACCCTGCGGTATAAGGTGGCGAAGTTTGCCGTGTTACGCACGAAACTTTCGAGCACGGCGTCGTCATGGAACTGCGGTACACATAATACAGTCGTTTATCCCATGCACAGCCTCGAGAATTTTCCCACCCGCCGTGGAAGAAAAATAAAAATTGTTCTCCGTTGTAGACGTAAATGGGAGTCGAGTAGTTTCCATCTGCAATAAGGTAGTTCCAAGTATTTTTCCTTTGTAGAAAATGCGACGTTGGCTTTGCACCACCGATCTTCGAGAGTGTAAAAGAAAAATATATATTTTATCCCATAAAATACAATTTAGACGCGCGTTTCATTCGGTCGCAAGTGCGTATTGTTTGAGAAGAAAAACATTTATCCTCGAGAAAATACAAAAATCATTTGACTGTTACGGCGCATCTTCGAAATGTTTTATTTACGCGTTTTATTACTATCTTCTGTCGAGCATCTCGCGCATTCCCCGTTATAGATTAAACAAGCATCACTCCATTTAACGTTTGCATGACATCCCACTTACGTTTAGAGGCTCGTTACGTTTTCCGCGAGAGGAAACGAGAGGAAATTATGCGCGGAACAAAAAATAGGAGAACACACCGCGAGCGTTTTTCCAGCAAAAATTGAGGTCGAAAAGAATGTTTTGAACGACGACTTTTTGGGAATAAAAAGCGAGCGAGAGAGATTTTGATAGCATATAACCCTCGAGGCACTCGACTTGTGGTGTACACCGGGTCTTTTTTAGGCACGCGAATGTGTATTTCATCGCAGTTTTGCGCAATCCAAGAGACAGAGAGAAAAAGATAAGCCGTTCCATTACCTTCGTAGCGTTTGTTTTTGTAACACGATAACGTTTGTGGAATTAAAAAACAAAAGAAAGAGAAGAAAAATAAGAGAGACAAGAAAAAAATTAATATCTCAATAATGTATATAACTTGTGAACGACTTAATTCCGACTCTCTCGCGACGCTCTACTGAGGAAAATTCCAGCAGAAATTAATCGAAGAATAAAAAAGTTTGTCGAAGCTTGTTAAACTACAGTTTTATCTCTATTAGAGAGCGAATATATTTCCTGAAAATTGCTTCTCGCGCGGTTGAGAAAAATGCAAAGATGTATCTCCGCTCGACGATTATTGTACGTAGATACCAAGGCTTCGAATCAAGGCTTTCCACATCGGTTAATTCGTTAATATGCCAGCGACGAGAGTATCTTGATGGAATTTCCGTTCTCGGTTCCGGTTTTGAAGTTTTGCGAGTGGCATCCGCGCCCCGAGAACAACTTACCTCGCCGAAGGCGCGTAAACTTCCGTGCTTCTAGCTATTTTAACGACGGTAACGAGGAAAGTTTCATGGGGAGGCATCCGCGCGTTTTGGTTTGCGCGCACCGAGCCAGCCACAGCGAGCGCGCGACGCGACGCGCGTCTTAGTCGAATTCGAGGCTGTGTCGAGGAGCGACTTCGAGGGCCGAACGAATTGAAAAGTGGTTTTCAAGCGCGCACTTCCGCGACTTCGTGAACATGTTACGCAAATGCAAACACGCGCGAGTGATCCTCGAAGCAATCAAAACAAACAAAAGCCTGCTTGATTTCTGTCCTTTTCAATAAAAATGTTTATTTGACGACTTTTTGCCGAGACGATCTTTTGTGTATCTTAAATTTGTATTGAGAAGAACACAAATCAAGTGTCGAAGCGTCAATACTTGTTATGAATAAATGATACATGTTACACGCATTAATATACAACCGCGTCAGCTTTGTGTTATTTGTAATTTGTGTTAAACATTTTCCTACCAGAAAAAGCGTGTGTAAATAATCACAATCGATTCTCTCGATATTGATTGCTGCCACTTTTATCTCGACGCTGATTAGACGTTTTTAGGATGTGTTTCTCGATTAATGTCGTACATATCAAGACGCACGGTAGTACTTCTTATACGCGAAATTCATGCGATTGAGAAATGAGGAGATTTTCATGGAGCAATATCTCAAGAACGACTGAACCGATCACTTTTGTTGTAGTCTCAATCGCTTCATAACAAAACACTAAAAAACAAAACTATTCTTGCGTTTTTTACAGTCACGTGACAGGGAGAAGAGAAAAAACACTACGTAACTAAAGTAACGTGACTGCACTTTAATGACTTGTCTTTAATTACGTGACTAAAAATATATATTATATATATTATATATAGTAAATATAATATATATAATATGTATATTATTTTATATATATTATATTATATATGTAATATATTATATTTTGCACAATTGTTTTAAAATTACTTTAAATGTTTAATGTCCTCCTTCGTAACGTTTTGCAGACAAGCNTATATATATATATATATACTACGGTAAAGTCACTGACCTTGATCACGTGACTACGGCGAAGTCACTGACCTAAGTCACGTGACTACGGCGAGGTCATTGATCTGGATTACGTGACTACGGTGCGTATATATTATATATAGATATAGAATATTATATATAATATATATAATCTCTCTTTTACTCTTTTCCCTGTCACGTGATCTTATTTTAGTCGCGTTTTTAAAGACACGTGACTAAAATACAGTCAGTTTATAATCACGTGTTGTTTTTCCACTCCTCTCTTTTTCTTTTATTTTTCGAGTTTGATTTTCATGCGTTATTTCTGACATATCTCATGTGTACATCATGTGTATTATATGATTTATAAGACGTATACACTAGCTGTCATCACAGGTTAAGTTTACTGGCACAATACATTAAAAAAATAAAAACAATAACAGCGTGCGCGCAGCGCGCCCCTGTGTTGTACTACTAAGTTTTAAAAATCCAGAATAAAACTCGACTCTAAAGTTTGAAAATTACTAAAAAGAATAAAATTTTAATCTTAATTTTTTAGGTTTAGGTTTTAAGACTCAAACGGTTTTGTTCGCTCCCGAGCGTAATGTTTTTTCTAACGTATCTTTTCGCTCGCGTTTCAAGAATTCGCACAGAGAAACTTTTCCTCGCTGTCCTCTATCAAGCGCTGTTACAAAAATATGATAGCTGTTTGATTGCACATACATGACATACTTGATAGGCAAGCGGTGAGAAACGAGCGAAGAGGAGAGACAGTCGCGACTTACTCACCTTTCTCCAGAGGAGCTCTCTTGTACTTCTCCAGCCTCTTGACTGCGATGGCTTCCAGACGCACTCTGGCGGCCGGATACTCCTTGAGCACGTCCCACATGTCCTTCTTGCTGAGGACGAAGAGGTCCGAGTAGCCAACCGAGCGCACGCTGGCTGTTCGCCGGTTACCTGCGTCGATGTAGCCATTTATTGGTTATCGGGATGCATCAAGCTTTCTTATGTAAACGCGCGTCGATCGAAACAACATCGATCGTTTGTTATCTACAAAATAATCTCCTGTCAGTTGATTGGTATGCACGTGGTTGTTTTAACACCGCGACTCTTCTCTTTGCTCATTGTCCTCCTCGCACAATAAGTGGCGCGCAATGCGTGTAATTTTGATCGCGCTTGTACTTTTTAGTTGCGGTCCAGTGATTCCACCTTAATCGATCGCCTAGTTAGCTCGTTAGCTCTGCCCCCCTTTTCTCTCGACTTTTTAACAGAGGCGTTTAATCGTCTGCCGTTAGCTCGCTGATAAATTGATGGACGGTAATGGCAAGTACGGATTAATTGTTGCGCGATTCACTGACGCGCGCGCGTGCGCGTCAGTTCACTCGCGATCGTATTTTTCGCTCGGTCGCGACGTTTTCCCGGACGGAATGGGGATATTTATTTTTGGCAGAAAAAACAAACGCATTTAGTATAAGTTACGCCAACAAGCACTTCGCCCCGATGTGTTAATGACGCAACCGAGTCATCGTATACTACTAATTGGTGTCAACGATATTTTACGCGCCCGGTGTAAAAAAAAAAAAAAAAACGTGCAAGATCGTAATTGCTTCAGACAGAAGTGCGCGCGGCAGTTGGACGAAACACGATAAATAAAGCTGGGCAAACTTTATTTCGAAAGATAGAGAGAGAAAGACTTAAACTGTTGGATAAACGTTACGTTCGGAAGTTTCGCTTCATTAGTATGCTACGAATACGCGCGAGTCGTAACGCAAATTGTAATAATTAAAGCTAAGACGACGGGTGTTAAACTCCCTCGCTCTGCTGAGTGAAAGTTACGTTACCCCATTTCTATGTTACTTTCGCCATAATTGTATATATGTACTATATGCGCCGTCCATGCGCGTTTCATTGTTACGCGGAGAATTTATAAATACTCCGGCGCGCAACTTGCGTCATATATTATTCACAAAGTTTTCACGTACCGAGCGCAACGCCGCAAAGTCCGTTCCACCGCGATCGAACCGCGCCGCGAAGCACATCGAGAGAATGTTTAATTATTACGGCGAAAATTGGATGTCAACGCGCTTCGATTAACAACGTGCTTCGCTCTTTCGTTTTGTTTATTGTTTTTTCTTCTGGTAGCGCGATATATACATTTCAAATAACAAAAACGAGAGATCAGATGTTCGTCGCTCGAATCGCTAATGTTGCGTCGTGAGATGTTTTGTCATTCACAGCGATAAGGTCGCAATGTACAATATGTATATGTATATCTTAATATACATATGTATATATATACATACTAACTATGTATATTTTAATATACATACATACATAT